AAAGGCAAGAGTTATATGTGTCTAGATATCAATCCAGCTCAAGAGCCCTCAAATTATTTCTCATCTTCTGCATGTTCTGCTGTCCTGTATCTAGTCTTTGTTCCTGTATCTAATTTTTCCACAAGAGAAAATTGCTACAGAATAAACCAATGAGTCTCCATCTGTCTGATGAAAACAACAACAAATGGTGAGACTTATTTACAAAGGCGTGCATTAAAAGATACTGAAAACTTGGTGCTGATATTTTTCAGAGTTACCTGCAGAATTTCCTGATCTCCTTTTGCTGTCACATTTGTTTGCAAAGCAACTGCATCTGTGTTGATAGACAAAATCACAACACAAATGTGAGTCCAGTTTTATTGAATAATGTTACAATGATGTGGCTAAGATGTGGTTTGGACCACATTGCAAGACCATAAACCTTCAGACACAAAGGTAATAAAACAGAATATGATGATGGGAAGCATCTGATTACAGAGGAATGAAATGTGGAGCTTGTAGCATTGTTGCTGAATTTTGGAAAGTGTGCGAATTTTTGTGCAAATGTTTAAACAATAGGAATTCCATCCCATTTGTTCTAATGTACATCAATAAATATGGTTATGATATAAGTAATGAAATAAATATATGCTACAATAAATAGCTTTATGAGTTCAGTTTAAAATTATATTTGTGTCCCTAAGATAAACTCAAACAGATTCATTTGGTTGTAGAAGATTTAAAGTGGATTATATAGGTTGGGGGTCATTAAAATATACAGCGTACTTGCAGTAAAAAGTCATTGTAGGCTTTAAAAATTTAAAATACTGCTTAAAAATACATAACACAGATAATCATACATGAGACAGATAGATAATAATGTATATTTTAAGTGTTTCGAAGCTCTATTATAGGTATCAGATCAATATCATCAATATCAGCTTGAATTTTACCTGGTGTCAAATTGGAAAGTAAATCATATGGCACATCACTAGAATGATGTTTGTGTGACTTTTCTTAGCATGAACAACACTTACCTTTGCTTTGTTCATATATTCCTCTTGGAGTTCCACAACAAACAAAAATGAGAGTCACAGAAATAACCAAGAAGATTATTGCCATAACCAGCACAGTAAGTTCAGAACCTGATTTTTGCTCTAGAAAAAAAAAACAAGACAGGAAATTATTGATGATTCTAAAAAACATTGAAACCTAGCTGTCATATTATTCAAGTATTAACTAGTCGTCTGTTGCAGATTCATCAACATTTCCAAAGAGAGAAATGGCCAAGCAAACTATTAATATTGTCATTTGAATAAATCCTGATTGTGTTGATTGCACTACAAAAAACAAACAAAAAAACAACTCCCAAAATATATTTTTGTGAATATACAGAACAGATTAAAGTACTTAAAACCAAATACCTTCGATGTCCAGTTTAGTTCCATTTCCAAATAATATCTCCCCACATGTGGCCACAGCACAGTAGTAAGTCCCAGCATCAGAGGAGCTGACGTTCTTAGAGAAGCGATAAAGACACCTCTCCTCTGAGTCTGATATTCTCTCACTTTCACTGTGTCTGTTTCCATCAGTGTAGATGATGCTTGGGTGTAATGGATCTGATCCAGCTCTGAACCAGAACACATTATAATCTCTGGGACACATCTGGTCAGAGTCAGAATAGACTGAACACTGGAGAGTCATTGAATTTCCTGAGCGCAGTGGATTTAACACTGTTGGCCATTGAACAACAGTATAATCTGATGCTGTCTCATTATTTCCTGTGGAATACAAAACACAAATACATTCTTTATAACATGACCTGAAACACCTTTAAAGTTTATAAAAGTAGGACAGTGTATGACTAACTTACCTTTTACTAACAAATATGTTCCAGTCCATTCAGGATGAATCCACTCTATCATTCCACAGTGATAGATTCCCTCATCCTCTTGGACTGCTTTCAAAATGGTCAGGTTGCTAAATTTCTTATCAAAATGTGCTTGAAATCTTGATTTAAATATTTCTTGACCATACTGAGGTGTTGTAGTTTTTAACAGTGTCACTATTAATTTGAGAGTATCTCCGACACTCTGCTTGTACCAGTGGACTCCTCTAGTTTTGACCACATCGGGCAAAGCACATGTTATGTTCACTGGTTCACCAAGCTGAACCGTTTTCACTGGAACTAGAGTGTCTGAATTAGAATATAGAAAAGTTATAGTTTTCTCCACACATCTATTTGACATTAAATTCTCAATTTAGAACATTTTTAGTAAAGTAAAATGCTCACTTACATCCTTGATGAAGAAAAAGCAATATAATCCATAACATGACCATCGTGACACTGCTCCTTGTTGAGGACTTTGCTGGTATTTCACTGAATGAAGGCGGTGAAAGCACTGTATTCAGTAAGACAGTAAAATGCTGCTGATTGGTCAGTACAGAATAGATTGCAATGTACATTTCCTGTCACATTTGCCTCCTCCTGGGCTTTGCAAAAGCTCTCATCTTCTTTCATCTTGTATTGTAACTGCCTATTTTGTTAACTCAAACACTGTTCCCTACATGTTATAGTTATTCTTGTTATTAAACCTTACGGACTCAAAGAGTAATTGTGATTTAGAATAAGAGTGATTTAGCCTCATATTGGAATTTCTTTCATTTATGTATTGATGTATTGTGTTAGTAGTAGTGCTTTTATGTCACATGGCTTTTGCATGCCTGTTTTCACACCTTATTCACGCCATTAGACAGATCATGTGGTGGGGGGTCAGGTGATTGTATCTTGGAAAGTAGGGAGCATTCACACAGGAAGCCTGACACCAGTGTGGGGAAAGATTCTATAGGTGGTGAAGAGGGGAAAGAGACAAGGGGATCAACCACTGTAAGAGGTGATAAGGGATTGTTAACTCTTTCTTTGGGGGAAGTGTGTAATGCCTTTTGTTTTGTTGACTGCTATTTAAACCCATGGCTGTCCTGGGACTGGGAGAGTCTACTAGGCTACGTCCACACTAGCCCGGATAAATTTGAAAACGGCGTTTGTGTCTACACTATCGCTTTCGCAGAGTTTTGCATCCACACTGAAACGGCCGAAAACGCTTCCAGTACTGCAAATATGTGAAATGCAAGATGATTCGACCTGCGTCATTTCTGTCTGCCAAAATTGAGAGCAAACAAAACAACTACTGTATAATGCCTTCTGCTATCTTAGTTTAGTTGGTCACATGACTGCATCACATGACTAAAATGTGTCATCGTTTTTGAAAAGGTTCCGGGTTCGCTGTCCACACTGCGACACGAAAACGGCATTTTCAAATGTATCAGCTTTGGAGAGCGTTTTCAAGACGCTGCGTTTTCCTTGACTGAAAACACCATCTCAGTGTGGACAGAAGGCCAAAATGGAGAGAAAAAGATGCGTTTTCATACAAAAACGTATTAGTGTGGACACGGCCCTAGCCAGTGCCCCGCGATGGCTGCTCTCTCTCACTTAAGCTTGGGTTTTTTTAAAAGATGTTAGCTACTGCTCATCGTTGTCTGCAGGCTTTATTAGATGAAAATGTCCACAGCGTCTGCAAAACCCAAGGCTTATGAGCAGTTTCTTTGAGCAAATTACACCGGAAACAAGCCATTAGTTGTTTAAACACTTTGAAAGAAAAAAAAGGCACACACACATATTAACCCCTTGGTGAAACTATAGGAAAAGCTACAATAATGCCAGATTTTGACTACATGATTTAAGCTTTGATTTACATTAGGTGGCTCCACAAAACCCCAAATCCTAATGAGAGATAACAGGTATTATGACAATAGTCTTTTTCAAGACATTTATTTTTTAATCAGGATCTGTATAAACTCCTATCAAGTGGGTATTTGACCCTCAATTGAACTTTGTTCTGCATATTGCATGCTCAATCCATGCCCCCATTCCAGTGCAGAAGACATGTCATAAACACAAATAAAGCTATTTTAAAAATGCCAAAAAAAGAACAAAAAGCAGAAATTGTATAGAAATGTGTCATTCATGAAGATTTAATATATATATATTTCTGTGGTGGGACGTGATTAAAAAAAAAGCTGATTAATTAAAGGCTTTGTAATTCATTAATCTCGATTAACTGCAGAAAATTTGCCCCAATGCTCAATTATTATTATTTTTTAAATTTTAAAGGGTTTTAGTGGGTGACAGATTAAATATTAGACATGGAGCTGAATATTGTGAACTTTTAATTTATGGGGGGGCATGTAAACTGCATTTCAATGCAAAACAGAGAAAAATAATATCCCTGGCCAAAATTTGGGAAGACTTAAAAATAAAGTGTTATTTTAAGTACTTTAAGTAAAATGGTATGGTATGCTCATCTGAATCTGTAGCACATTTTCTAACCCCCAATCTTCTACCACTGATAGTGGTCTACAGTCCAGAGCAATCGATTTGCGGGAGAATTTGTAAGTTTGTCCGATGTTGACCTAATAAGCCTTTCTGATTCTGATTCTGATTTTATCAAGTTTGGGCAGCCAACATCTTTTGTTGGTACTCAAACTGCTAGCACTAACAGCTCCCACATTTTCTTTGCTCGCTGCAACATGTTTTGCATTTAGATGGTACCGTAAGGTTGAAGTGCTTCAGTGGTATGCAAACTCCTTTTTTCCACAGTTTGCACAAAACCACAATTTTTATTTGTTATTTGTTATTATTTATTAACTCTCATTGTCGATACCCTGATGCTAATCGCAGTAATTTTAAAAGTTTCTTCCTTTTCCTTTTCTGAAGTTGATGCCCTTCAGATGAAGTCAGTCATTAAAAGCTTACTGTTTTCTAAGTCTGATATGTAAGAATTTACTGTGGTGAAATATTTATTTATTATTCTTTGAAATTCACAACAGTTTGTGCTGTTGAAATTTTAGAGTAATTCAAATCAGATACTTCAGTCAAATAGCACTAATAGCCAAGTGGAAGGAGATTTAATTCTGGTGTGTTAAAACATGTATTTGGTTACATTTTATTGGACAATCTTAAGAATACGTCAACATATTCTTTAAAGAATCTGGTTATATTTTGGCAAAGTCTTTCAGTGGACAACTGGTACATGAGCATTATCTCTACTGGACTGTGACTAGAGTTTATGTTAAAGCATAGAAGGGATGTCAGCAATGGGCAAGGAAGGGCTGCTAAATATTTACTAGATTTATGATGGCAGTGTGAAATCGCACTTGTTGTGTCCTTGAACCAGAGCTTTGGAGTGGCTGTTAGCAGGCAGGCTGGATTCCTAGTTACAACATAATTGATTAGAGAGAGGCCAGGTAGGTATTTTGCAGGTAAATTTATTTGCAGCAGGTAAATCCAGCTGTTATACTGTAGATTTGTTTGAGTCGTGATCGTTGTTGCCAGCTCCCATGTTTTGGCCAAGCTCAAGCTGTTAGACAAACCCAAACCATTATATTTTCACCACTGTGCTTGACAGTTAGTGTTAGGTGTTTGTCTATAAGCTAATGATGGATGAGTGACGAAATGTTTCTCCCACTGAAAACGCTACGTCCAGATAAACAGAATCAACCTTTTGGGAAGTGCAGGTCAGGTCATCTCTCATCCAATTGTAGATTCCCCACCATAGTGTCTCCTATGTAGGAATGCGTGATATTTTTTCCCCCAAAAAAGTGAAAGAGCAATCTGGACAAGTGCCCCTTGCAACCTTGTTTGATTCTTTAGCCCTTTCCAAAGCCAGGAATAACATCTATTTTATGCCGCAAATTCAATGGCAAATCATGTTGGTGCAAGACTAAAGTCAGAATAATTAAACTTAGAGTGAAAAAGATTTCCAATCTCAATCAATTTGAAGGTGGATGCAGACAGACTGAACTGACTTAAGCTAGTCACGATTAACACTGTGAGCCAATATTGATATTGTGAGTCATGTTAATTTAATCATTTGTAACATCACACAGAAACAGGAAAACAAGAACAGGCAAGCACAATAATATGTAAATAACAGTATATGCAAAACATCATGTTTTCAGCAAAATCAGGAATAAGATCTTTGTATTTTCTATTTCCAATTAAACAAATCAGTATTAAAAGACAGGTTTTGTATAGACACACTTTCACACTCTGCTTTTGATGTGAGAATACACTGTTTCCTCGGTTTCCAGTTCATTCTTCTTCTTCCTTCCTCTTGCACTTTTATTTCCAGAGAAATGCAGTGCAGCATAGTTTACATCATGTCCACTTTCAGTCTATGCAAAATAAAATTCATATTGTTATATAAAGTTACAGCAAATCGTTTCCCTGAATTAACACATATGACTTAGTCTTATTACTTACATGTTCATTCATTGTTTGGCTCAAGGCATCTTGTATTGCTTGTGAAGAGCTGTTTTCTGGGCATAATGTTGATTTTAAAAAATAAAAATCCACATTACCTCATGCTTTCAATTGTGGACTTGACAATTTTACTTTTTTAAAAATTAAAATTATGTTCTTGACCTTGATGTGTTCAAATGTAACGGGGTGTGCACTCAGCAGCTAATATCAAGTGTAAAAGTGTATATAAAATATGTACCAAATACAATTTATTGAAAATGATTTAGAGTCAGTGAATAACACTTACCTTTAAATTGTTCACATGCTGCTCTTGGAGTTCGGCAACAGATGCAAACAATATTAAGAATCACAGAAATAAACAAGCAGAATATTGCTATAACCAGCACAGTAAATTCAGAACCTGCCTTTTGCTCTAGAAAAAAAGGAAAGAAATGATTAATGATTCTCAAAGACACAGCAAACTAGCTGTCATATTATTCAAAGTCCTACCTATTTGAAGTTTAGTTCCATTTCCAAAGAATAATTCCCAACACGTGGCCACAGCACAGTAGTATGTCCCTTCATCAGACGAGCTGACGATTTTAGAAAAAGTATAATTGCAGCTCTTCTGGGGGTCAGCTCTTTTATCACATTCTTTACTTTTGTTTCTGTCAGTGTAGATTAATTTTGGATAACTTTTATGTGATCCAGCTCTGAACCAGAGCACGGTGAGATCTCCGGGACATGTCTTTTTGTCAGAGTCAGAGAAGACTGAGCACCGAAAAGTCACTGACTTTCCTGGTTCCTGGACTGTTGTCAGCGGTGTCTGAACAACAGTATAGTCTGATGTCCTTTGAGTGCGTCCTGGATTAAATAAAACAGTGTTAGCAAATGTGACTTTAGGTGTTACACAGTTGTGTGCCTTGCATTGAAATATTTCACTTGAAATATCTTATGAAATCACTAAAATTAGCTTTTTAAAAATAGATCAAATGTATCTTAGATTTTATGAAATGTAAATTATGATGTCAGTTTTCAAAACATGTTTATTAATGATGTTATTTTTTCTTAACACTGCTGCTTTACTGGTTAAAGTTAGGGAAAACTTGTAATTAGATCACGTTATTACCTCTGACTAACAAATATGAGCCGCTCCATTCAGTATTCTTGAACCACTCGGTGATTCCACAGTGGTAGATTCCCTCGTCCTCTTGGTTTGCCCTCAAAATGGTCAGGTTAGTGGAATTTTCATTGTAATTAACCTTCCATCTTGATTGAGTAAACTCAGCAGAAAACTCAGGTTGTGCAGATTCCTTCAGTGTCCATATTAATTTTAGAGAGTCCCCGGTACTCTGCTTGTACCAGTCCACTTCTCTACGGCTGAACTGTGAATTCTTACGCAGATCACATGTGAAGGTTACAGTTTCACCAAGCTGAACTGAAGTTATCGGGATAAGTGTATCTAAATTCAAAGAAAACATACAAAATCTACAATATTAAGTCACAATGATTATTGAAAACCATGAAAACAATATGAATATGAACATGAATACAGAATACACGGAATACGAAATAAAATAAAGAAAAAACTTACATCCTTGATGGAGATAAAGCAGTGTAACCAATAACACGATCATCTTGACAGTGTCTCTTTCCTTGAGCTTGAAGGTATTTCATTGACTGTAGGAGGTATTACAGCATGTCACACTGTCAAATGAATCTGATTGGTTACCACAGAATAAAGGTTCAAGTGCACTTCCTGTCACACATTTCTGTTGTCCAGGGCAGGTCATCTCTTCCTTATATATTTAGCCATTTTAATTATAATGTAAATTCCTTTTCTAATTAATGTTAGGGGTTCATCTTGTAGTTGTTTCGTCTTTGCTTTCGAATATTTACTCTCTGTCCTCATTGTGTCTCAGCAGGTTCTTCTACGAAGTGATTGTATTGGTCAGTTGTTCATATCATTTCAAACAACTCTTTTAAGTGTTCAGTGTTTCTCAATAGACACGATGGATCCTTACCAGTTTAAAATGTTCATTTTTAAAATGTAATAAAATAAAATAAAATGTTAATGTAATGATATAGGTGTGTTAGGGGTTTAAGTCCTGTCTGGGACAGTGTTTAAACTTTCCTTTCAGTCATTGATTATTATCATTTTCACATCCTGCCTGGTTAGGTTTAGGCAATACATCTAGGTTAGATCTCCAGTGTTATCTGATTTACAGTGCTCTGTCTTATCTAAGAGTGAAGACCCCAGCATACATTTTACATGCATTTATCTGTATGTCCAATAGAGGTTGCTTAAGTCTAAAACTTAAATAGTCATAATTGCAGCTTGCACAATGGACCTATGGGGTCCATTTGTGGTGTGTGGACCATTTTTGCTGCACAGCTATTAAGTGAGCCAAATACACTTCCAGCAACTTCAGAAAGAACAGTTATAATGTAAAGCCCCACCCCTTCCCAGACAACAAATACATCTTTTTGGGGGGGTTGTTTTCCCTTTTGCAAATTAGGGAAGATCATAATGTTTTAATGTAGCTTTGAAACAACCAACAGTTTCACCATAGTTCACCACTTTAGAAACAGCTTTTCCCTATCGGAAGAATTATTAAGTATCAGAAATGTATATCAACAAAGTCAACATAAAACTAATCTGGAAGACTGGCTCTGTGATCGGCTTGAAGCTGGACACTCTGGCAGAGAAGAGGACAGTAAAGAAACTGATAGACAATATGGACAATGTTGGGCATCCTTGTCACGGCCCAGCGGCACGAGGGAACAGAGATGGACACAGGTGCAGAAACCAACCCGGAAGCGAGACGATAAGGGAACAAAGGATTTATTTCCGCCCACAGGCAAACACAAGCAAA